GATGCAAAAAATATACTAGCAACAGGATATATCTGAAAAAGAATGGAAGGTGTGAGACAATGGATGATATGGTATGTTATGGTGACTGATGAGATCATACTTTGAAAGAGCCTACAGGTCCTTTGATAAGACAGTACTTACTTGCCCATACATGGGCCTGAAGGCACAACACAATGAAACCTTATATTTAGGTCAACCAATTCATTTGAACTAAGGCTGGATCAAGAATGCCATATAATGCAGTTTGAGTCTAGACTGACCAAATAATGAAGTTCAAACTGAATTATATGGCAGTGCAGATCCAGCCTACACAAGCAGAGACCAAACTTGTAACCTGACTACCAGCAGGATTACAGTGTTCCCTCACTACTTCGCGGTTCGCTTTTAGCAAACTTGCTGTTTCGCGGGGTTTAGAAAACATTAAGAAAAATATTAAATATTAAATATTTGCATGCAATGGAGGCCAGGGACCCCAAAAAGTGTGGCTGCCTGAGGCACGGCGGGGAAGGCCTGCCTCCCTGGCCTCCACAGACCCCAGAAGTGTGGCAGCCTGCCTGCCTCCACAGACCCCAGAAGTGTGGCAGGCTTGCCTCCCTGGCCTGCTGCTGCCTGCATGGCTCCGGGGGCTCTGAGGAGGCCAGGGAGGCAGGCAGGCACCTTTGGTATAGGCCAGGAGGTGGGTAAAGAAGTAAGGGTAAGAAAATAATATATATAATATATAAAATAATGTACAAATATTAACATTAATATGGCGTCCCTACTTCATGGATTTTCACTTATCGCGGGTGGTCCTGGAACGGAACCCCCGCGATAAGTGAGGGAACACAGTACTTTCCACTTTCCTTGAGTGCATACTAATTAATACATTTTGTACAGTAAAGTGAAAGAGCTCTTTTTCTTGTTAGAAGCCTTTCCCTCAGATTAGAAAAATCACTGCGGGGGGGGGGGGGGGGGTCAAAGTAACATTTCCAAGCTCTCCTTCTGTTTGAATCTCTCCAAAGAGGTTTAGACATTGTTTTGCCTTTCTCAGCCTCTTGGGTAAGACTAACATCAAATACTGTCCGGTATGATGGGATTTTTTTGCACATGTATTTTCTCCCTGGAGAAAATGACTGGACTGACCTTGAGGGAGCTGGGGGTGGTAACGGCTGACAGGGAGCTCTGGCGTGGGCTGGTCCATGAGGTCACGAAGAGTCGGAGACGACTGAACGAATGAACAACAACAACAATTTTCTCCCTGTCAACCATCCAGTGAGCAAAACTACACACACATAGGGTAACCACATGTCAGGAACTGAAACTAACCAGAAGCCTAAGCACTGAATGGTTGGTGAAAAGTTTTCACACATGACTGGAAACAAAAATCCACAGACATGCATTCCAGAATGGAGTTCTATGGTCCAGGAAAACCAATGGAGGCTGTCATTAGCCTAATAGTATGGGATCTCCCATGTCAGTACCACTCATCTGGAATGTAACATTCCCTCTAAAGCTAAACTGCTATTTTCTGAAAAGACTCCAAGTCATTGAGGGTGCAATGAAATGGGTTGCAGCTTGCTTCTTTGCATAGTTTGGAGTCTTTCTTCCGAAGTGCATTGCCTGCCGTCTTATACAGAAACTAAGCTTTGGAACATCCACAGCTCTTTCAGTAGTTGGCATATTCAGACCCATCATGTTCAGATTCTCAGGATAAAGCCCAGAGCTTGAAAACGTCTTTTGAGACTACAGCTTCCAGAATGCTCCCCTCGTCAACAAGGCCACTGGGGGATTCTGGGAGGTGTAGTACAATCAGTAACTTTCCCCAGCTGTTTTTTAGCTCACACATACATTGTCATGCACAATGTGAAGTTTAAAATGTAGCTAGGCAATAATAAACCTTAGATAGATGTCTTTGCCAAAGGATATGACATTGCTTTTAACTGCTTGCTTTTAATTATTTTGACAGTTTAATTGTATGATTTACTTTTGCATGACATGGACTTCTAGCTGTATCTTTTCACTTTATGAAAGCCACCTTCAGTTCCAAAGGTTTGGGGAAAACAGTGAATTACTTAATTAATCAATTAATAAATAAGTAATTGTTTGAGGTGGGGCATCTTTGGCACTCCCCATTATTTTGGCATTCAGCTTCCAGAAGCCCACCCAACATGATCACTGTTTGTGTGTGTGTGTCAGGAGTGTCAGGAGAGAATGGGCCATCTGCAAGGACGTTGTCCAGGGGGTGCCCAGATGTTTTACCATCCTGTTGGAGGCTTCTCTCATGTCCCCGCATGGGAAGCTGGAGCTGACAGATGAGAGCTCACCTTGCTCCCCGGATTCGAACCACCTTTTGGTCAGCAGTCCTGCCAGCGTAAGGGTTTAACCCAGTGCACCACCAGGGGCTCCTAATTGTAAATTAAAATATGTGGTTCAAACTTCCCCAGCCCTGCCATAGAATGTTCTGAAGAATTTTATTCCCCATTATAATGGGAAGACAATCAGAGATCAACCCAGCAGGCATTAACACATTTTAAAAGGAAAAATACTGTGATGGCAACATTTCAACCCCCCTCCCTCAATTCCAAGGAGTTACTGTTTCACAAATGGATGGTTTTCTAAAAAATCTGAAATCTCCAAAATCAATATTTTGTTTTCTGACCCCAGCCTAGATTTCTTTCTCTTTCTTTCTTCTATTGCAGCCTTTTTTCTGTGTCTAAAACGGTAAATGGCAAGTGCCTCGGAGAAAAGAGTAAAGAAAAGTATAAACCTTTGAGAAAAGTCAGTGAGGAAGGGAAAGCATTGGCTCTGTCACTCAAAGAGGCAATTGCAGATATACACAAATACGTTGCTAGAGATGGGCCAGTCACAATATTTTTGTTTCATGGCCTGGCTTGCTAACCGGTTATCTATACATAAAAACAGAATTTTATTTTCCAGTCCCTTTTTCTCTGAAAATGCCTCTTGTCCATCTCTATACATCTATCAACGGGAGTATATTCTTTGCCACCTTGTGGGGAGGGAATGGAACCAGAGCCAATAAATGTACAGAGTGTGACGCAAAATGCATAGAAGTGGCAAGGATAGAGGGAAGTGGGCACTGAGCAATGTCCAAAGCAGGCCCATTGCATGCTCTTACATGGCAGCATCTCTGCCAATTCTGTTGTATGGGGCAGGTTGAATGGAATCATAGTGCCAAACTGCTTGTCCATAGATCAGTTTTTCTCAACCTGGGGGTTGCGAGGGGGTGTCGGGGGGGGGGGGGGAGTCACCAAAAACCATCAGAAAACAGTATTTTCTGTTGGTGATGGGGGTGCTGTGTGGGAAGTTTGGCTCAATTCTATAGTTGGTGGGGGTTCAGAGCACTCTTTGATTGTAAGTGAAATATAAATCCCAGAAAATACAACTCCCAAATGTGAAGCTCTATTTTTGCTAAACTCCACCAGTGTTGACATTTGGGAATATTGAGTATTCGTGCCAAATTAGGTCCTGATTGATCATTGTTTTAGTCCACAGTGCTCTCTCGATGTAGGTGAACTACAACTCCAAAACTCAGTCAGTGCCCACCAAACCCTTCCAGTATTTTCTGTTGGTCATGGGAGTTCTGTGTGCCAAGTTTGGTTCAATTTCATTGTAGGTGGAGTTCAGAATGTTCTTTGATTGTAGGTGAACTGTAAATCCCAGCAACTGCAACTCCCAAAAGACAAAATCCACCCCCCAACCCCACCAATATTCAAATTTGGGCGTGTTGGGTATTTGTGCCCAACTTGGTGCAGTGAATGAAAATAAAACCTGCATATCAGATATTTACATTACGATTCACAACAGTAGTAAAATGACAGTTATAAAGTAGAAATGAAAATAATTTTATGGCTGGGGGGGGGGGTCACCACAACATGGGGTAAAAGTAAAGAAATATGAATGAAAATAAAATCTGCGTATCAGATATTTACATTACAATTCATAACAGTAGTAAAATGACAATTATGAAGTAGCAATGAAAATAATTTTATGGTGGGGGGGGGGTCACCACAACATGAGGTAAAAGTAAAGATTTTTCCCTGACAATAAGTCCAGTCGTGTCCAACTCTGGGGGTTGGTGCTCATCTCCATTTCTAAGCTGAAGAGCTTGGAGGTAGACACCTCCAAGGTTATGTGGCCAGCATGACCGCATGGAGTGCATGGAATGCCATTACCTTCCTGCCAGAATACCTATTGATCTACTCACATTTGCATGTTTCAAACTGCTAGGTTGGAAGAAGCTGGGGCTAACAGCAGGAGCTCACTCCGCTCCCCGGATTCGTTCTAACAAGTTCAGCAGCTCAGTGGTTCCACAACATGAGGTACCGTATTAAGGGGTCATGACATTTGGAAGGTTGAGACCACTGCTATAAATCCTGTATCCATGAATTCAACCATCCAGGATTTGAAAAGAAAAAAGAAAAAAGAAAGTACACCTTGATTTTGCCATTGTATACATGGAAGACCATTGACCTACACCATTGTATATAAGGGGACTTGGGTGTCCATGGGAGTCCTGGAACCAAACCCTAGCAGATAAGACCAAGTCTGTGCATTATGCACACCCTGATCATGCATGGACTATTTATAGTGCCCTGGTCCTACCAGGGAGAGGCAGGAACTTCCCGAGCTCCATCATGTACAAAGGACAGGGCAGAGAAGCAACAAGGGAGGGACGCCCCCGGGCAAAGCTTCAACCAGGAAGGTACCTTGGCGTGGCAGCTCTCCCTGGGCAAGTTACCAGGGCAAAGCTTCTACTAGGAAGGCACCTTGGCATGGCAGTTCTTCCCTAGCCTGGCAAACTGGGCAAGTTCTCCGCCAGTGACGACTGATGCTCATAGAGCTGTGTGTGTGTGTGTGTGCAAAGGGTCAGTTTTCGAACGCACGTGGAAGAAGGCAACCCCTCAACCCACGCTCCTGCGAGGCAAACCGGTGCCAGGCTGCCCTCGAGGGGCGAAGTGCCACCCCCCCCCCTCCTCCTCCTCCTTGGCTTGGCTACTCACTTGTGCCGTCTTCATAAGGAAAGAGAGCGCTGCAATCCCGCCTCAGCAGCTGTGTGCAAACTCCTGTTAGCGCCTCTGTAGCTCCAGCATGTTGCGAAGGAGGCTAGTCCGTGCATTGGGCTCTCCCTCGCTTGGCTCTGCGACCCTCCTCGCCCCCGGACCCGCCACCCACGCGCTTGCTTTGCCTTGCCTTGCCTTGCCTTGCCTTGCCTTGGCACAGCCGCCCCCTTTCTCAGCTCCGCCAAAGCGAGGACTGTGCGAAGCAGTCGGAGCCTTTCTTATATAGCTGCGAGCTGCCTCCTTCCACGGCTCGGGCTTGGAAGCGGAGGACACGCCTTTCCTGGCGTCCTTCTTGCCAAGGAGGGAAGGGGGAGGAATTTGGGGGGGGGGGAGAGAGAGAGAGCCCTGGGGAACTTCAGCGAGATGGAGCGCAGGAGGACAACCTCAGCCCTTCCAGCCAGCGCCAGAGAGGAAGGCGGGCTGACGCACTTGAATGGCCAGGGATCCATGCTGGGGGGCAGTGCTGCTCAACCTGGGGATCGGGACCCCAGGGGGAGTCGCGAGGGGGTCTCAGAGAGGTCGACAAAGACCATCAGAAAACACAGTATTTATGTTGGTCATGGGGGTTCTGTGTGAAAAGTTTGGCTCAATTCCATCATTGGTGGAGTTCAGAATGCTCTTTGGTTTTAGGTGAACTATAAATCCCAGCAACTACAACTCCCAAATGTCAAGTCTATTTTCTCCAAACACCACCAGCATTCACATTTGGGTATATTGAGTATCTGTGCCAAGTGTGGTCCTGATCCATCATTGTTTGAGTCCACTGTGCTCTCTGGATGTAGGTGAACTACAAGTCCAAAACTCACAGTCAATGACCACCAAACCCTTCCAGTGTTTTCTGTTCTTCGTGGGAGTTCTGTGTGCTAAGATTGGTTCAGTTCCATCATTGGTGGAGTTCAGAATGCTCTTTGATTGTAGGTGAACTCCCAAATGTCAAACTCTTATCTTCCCCAAACTCCACCAGTGTTCATATTTGGGCATATTGAGTATCCGTACCAAGTTTGGTCCTGATCCATCATTGTTTGAGTCCGCTGTGCTCTCTGGATTTAGGTGAACTACAACTCCAAAACTCACAGTCAATGACCACCAAACCCTTCCAGTGTTTTCTGTTCTTTGTGGGAGTTCTGTGTGCTAAGATTAGTTCAGTTCCATCATTGGTGGAGTTCAGAATGCTCTTTGATTCTAGGTGAACTATAAATCCCATCAACTATAACTCCCAAATGTCAAGCTGTATTTTCCCCAAACACCACCAGCATTCACATTTGGGTATATTGAGTATTCGTGCCATGTTTGGTCCTGATTCTTCATTGTTTGAGTCCACAGTGCTGTCTGGATGTAGATGAACTAGAACTCCAGAACTCAAGGTTAATGATCATCGAACCCTTCCAATATTTTCTGTTAGTCATGGGAGTTCAATTCCATCATTGGTGGAGTTCTGAATGCTCTTTGGTTTTAGGTGAACTATAAATCCCAGCAACTACAACTCCAAAATGTCAAGTCTGTTTTCTCCAAACTCCACCAGTGCTCACATTTGGGCATATTGAGTATCCGTGCCAAGTTTGGTCCTGATCCATCATTGTTTGGGTCCACTGTGCTCTCTGGATGTAGGTGAACTACAACTCCAAAACTCAAGGTCAATGTCCACCAAACCCTTCCAGTATTTTCTGTTGGTCATGGGAGTTCTTTGTGCTAAGACTGGTTCTATTCCATTGTTGATGGAGTTCAGAATGCTCTATGATTGTAGGTGAACTATGAATCCCAGCAACTACAACTCCCAAATGAAAAAATCAATACCCCCTCTCTCACACACACACAACCCCACCAGTATTCAAATTTGGGCTTCTTGGGTATTTGTGCCAAATTTGGTCCAGTGAATGAATATACGTCCTGCATATCAGATATTTACATTACAGTTATGAAGTAGCAATGGAAATAGTTTAATGGTTGGGGGGTCACCACAACATGAGGTATTGTATTAAGAGGTTGCAGCATTAGGAAGGTCGAGAACCACTGCTGTCAGATCTTGGAAGTGTGGGTGAGGTACCCACCCACTTTAGCCAAGGCCAAACATTTGTAAAACTCACGATGCCATAGCCAGTTAAAGTGATGTCAAACTGGCTTAATAGATGCACCTCTGAAAGTATCTTTGCCTAGGCACCTCCTTCAAAAGCGTGGAGGTGGGGGAGATGCATCTATGAATACAGTTTGACATTGCTTTAACTGGCAAGGGAATCCTGAAAGTTTTACAAAGTCTTTCACCTTTTTGAAGAGCCCCCAGTTGCACAACGGGTTGAAATGCTGAGCTGCTGAGGTTGCTGACCGAAAGGTTGGTGGTTCAAAACCGGGGAGCGGTGGTGAGCTCCCGCTGTTAGCCCCAGCTTCTGCCAACCTAGCAGTTCAAAAACATGCAAATGTGAGTAGATGAATAGGTGCCACTCCAGCAGGAAGGCAATGGTGCTCCATCCAGTCATGCTAGCCACATGACCGTGGAGGTGTCTATGGACATTGCCAGCTCTTCGGCTTAGAAAAGGAGATGTGCACGAACCCCCAGAGTTGGAAACAACTGGACAATGTTAGGAGAAAACCTTTACCTTTACCTTACTCGCCTTTTGGGGTTTTTTTTCTTGTCAGAAGTGACTTGAGAAACTGCAAGTTGCTTGGAATGTTGTGTTCAATTCTGGGCACCACAATTGAAGAGTGATGTTGACAAACTGGAATGTGTCCAGAGGAGGGTGACTAAAATGATCAAGGGTCTGGAGAACAAGCCCTATGAGGAGCTGCTTAAGGAGCTGGGCATGTTTAGCCTGAAGAAGAGAAGGCTGAGAGGAGATATGATAGCCATGTATAAATATGTGAGAGGAAGTCACAGGCAGGAGGGGGCAAGCTTGTTTTCTGCTTCCCTGGAGACCAGGACACGAAACAATGGCTTCAAACTACAAGAAAGGAGATTCCATCTGAACATGAGGAAGAACTTCCTGACTGTAAGAGCCATTCAGCAGTGGAACTCTCTGCCCCGGAGTGTGGTGGAGGCTCCTTCTTTGGAGGTTTTTAAACAGAGGTTAGGTGGCCATCTGTCAGGGGTGCTTTGAATGCAATACTCCTGCTTCTTGGCAGGGGGTTGGACTGGATGGCCCATAAGGTCTCTTCCAACTGTATCATTCTATGATTCTATGGTGTGAGAGAACTGGCCCCCTGCAAGGGCATTGCCCAGGGGACACCCCGATGATTGATGTTTGGCTATCCTGTGGGAGGCTTCTCTCATGTCCCCACATGAGAAGCTAGAGCTCAACAGACGGAAATACCCTGCTCCCTGATTCGAACTGCTAACCTGTCTGTTGACCAGTCCTGCCCGCACAAGGGTTTAACCCATTGCACTACCAGGGCCCCCCAAACTCTAACCAAACTCTTCATTTTACTTTATTTTATTTTTCCATGGTGAATTGTATGTTTGTGTGGATGCTACTGAGGTGATCCAGGAACTTGTTGAGTTCTTCTTCTCCATGGCTCCAAATGGTGAAGGTGTCATCCACATATCTGAACCATATAGTGGACTTTTTGTTGCTGTTTCCTGGGCTTGTTCTTCAAAGTCTATGTGATTGTGTAAAAAGGTGATTATTTTTTACCTGAGAGAACATCTCTCTAGGTCTCCATCATGGCTCTATTGTCAACTTTCAATAGAATCATTCTGGAGAAGTGTGTTTCACTCCCCCCACCCCACCCCACAAGGAATCTGTTGTCCTTCAGTACAACTCTGTACTTAACTTCCAAACTTTCATGGCTGAGCAAAAATCTCACATTCAAACGACTATTCTATGCTGATTTTCTTTTCTAACTCATCTGAAGTACATTTTAAGATATGAGACTTGAGATAGGACTATAAAGTATGCATTGATCAAAAATACAACTTGAAAGAATCCTTGAAGTTTCCTTTCCCAGCCAGAATATTAGTTCCATCAGAGCAGTATTCAGAACACTTGGAAAACTCCACATGTAGAGTCTTTCTGAACTATGTGTACTCTGGTGTAATGGGCTCCCTGGCCTTATCTCCTGCTCTTCAGTAGAAAAGGGGACCCCCATCCACCCCAAAAGAGATCTAGCTGCCCTTACCTACTAATTTTCGCAATGTGACTCAGTAACTTAGAAGTTATGGAGGGCTTAATTTGCAGTTTCCCACCTTTGCCTTTGAAGAGATTTGCCCTCTCATCCCTGTGGGAGATGAGAATCCTCTACATGTATATGTGAATACACTGAGCAAAGGCATGTGGTGAGAGCATGGAAAGAAGAGATCTTTAAAGACAAGTTTTTATTATAAACAAGTAATATTAACATTAGCAAAAGGCATATTTACAAGGTCTTTGGAAGCATGCTGAAGCTTCTTCACTTCTCCCCAAATTAGTATCCTCACTGGGTAGTGGTATCTCTTGTTCTCTATTGCTCCTCTTTGATGTTGTCCCCCAATAAATGTAATGTAAACCAACAGATGCTTAATCCTTTGTTTATCTGAAAGAAAAATTATGCCCAGATAATGTGAAAACTCAATGTCAGATGTGAAATCAAAATCAAGATCTTAATTAATATCCAATCCCAGTATGGGATTCAAGATGCCTTGCAACCAGTATCATTATTAAACTATTAATACACAAGTTACAGCACAATTAAACCAGACTTCTGTTTAAAATACAAGTTAAAACTATTTTCAGTATACATTTAAAACATAATAAATTGCAATATTAATTTACTTTCTTACTTAGGCAATCCCTCGTAACCTGAGGATGATGGTCCTCCAAGTGTAGTCTCTTGGTGGTGGGTCCGTAGGTGGCTGTGGAGCCCTATTTTTGACCCACATGTTCTCCTGCAGTGTGGACATTGGTTTCCAGGTGGAAGGCGATTCTGATCAGAGTTGGCTTGACACTCCTTCCTCTTGGCACGTAACAAACCAAATGTCTCACTAAATAAATAGGTCTATAGATGTTAACAGAAAACCAGCTAGAGTAGGGACAACTGGACCTTCTGAGGAAGGGATTTCTATGACTTGGAAGAAGCCACTGAAACGGTTCCCTTATGTGTTTTCTCCAAATGAGCCCATGAGGATGGTAGGACCAAGGGAAAACTCTCCCCTGCTGATCCTGAAGCTTGGCGTGGCTCTTATTGGTTCATTTATGGTATTTCAGAAACTCTGGACCCAAGCCATGTAGATCTTATAATGTTGCTCAGGCCTTGGAAGCTGGTGAGCAGGAAGCAAGGATAGAGAGGCTTCAGGAA